AAATTCGTGTGGGAATTAATGCGGCTGTTAGAATTTTCATTGCGAGCGAATATCATCGGAGACGGTAACGGGGCGAGACGAGGATACAAGCGCGTCAAGATCGGAAGATCGTAACCCGTTCTCCGTAAAGAGCGCACGAAGAAAGCGCATTGTGTATGCGCATCGTTTAAGCGGCGCCTACAGTGAGATTTTAGGCCGATAAAACTCAAGCTTAAGTATCTTAAAAGCTATAAGAAGTTGACCAGTCAGTCGAGTGTGAGAAGAATAATCGACTATGGCCGATATTTTCATAGTCGATTCTTATCTTAAGACCGTCTCAAGTAAGTGTTCTAAAACAAAAAAACGCTGATATGGCCCTCTGATTGGTTCGTGATATCTCAAGACAGAAATTAAGACGGTCTTGAATATAAGAACTGACTACGAATACCGGCCTATGATTGGTCAGTTTCTTAGGCTTAGGACTTAAAGTTTAAGTTTTACGCTTGAAAATCTCATCGTAGGCGCCGCGAAACAAAATTTAAGCACGTGAGGCTGCTCATCGGCGAGGAAAACGGAATAAGGACGAATCGCCGAGCAAACTGATTGGCAGTATTGGCCCCGAAATCTCGTGGAACCCTCTGTGACCTAAACGAAACTTCGAAACAACGACGGCGAGTCGGAAGTTCCGATTAAAGTTAAAAATCGAAGGGAGCTTCTCCGTTGTGATGAAGGAAATTAGTAGAGCAAATTTGTGTGAAGACGTGAAAAAACTTTTAACTTTAATTGAATTTTCTTTCCGGCCATATATATTTTTTTTTATATATATATATATATATATATATATATATATATATATATATATATATATATATATATATATATATATATATATATATATATATATATATATATATATATATATATATATATATATATATATATATATATATATATATATATATATATATATATATATATATATATTTATATATATATGTATATATAATATATATAATGTACATATATAATGTATATTCCCATCTTATCTTTCACCTAGCAATAATGTATTTTTTCATATTTCAATATTTCTCTTTCACGATTCATTTTTCACATTCATAATCATCGAGTTAGTTGTAGAATTACATTGATTGTAACAGTATAAAAAGATGAGAGAAATGGAACTTTAAGTAACGACTGTTATATTATCACGCCGTTCTTTCCTCGGATACGGGGAGTGTTGAAAAGAGATAAAAAAAAAAGTCAGAGCAATAACGAAGACGGTCCATAGAGGGTTCGCGAGCGTTATTTTTCGCGAACACATCTCACTATCCCATTGCCATCAGGACAATTGCCGGAACAACAGAGTTGACGATATATAATACTTTTTTCTTACTCGCTAAAAACGACCCGTTTTCGCAAGGGGGATCGAGAGAGACTCGACTCGACCAATTAGCCTTTTGTCGCCTCGCGATAATCGAGTTGTGCCTCTTTAACCGTGTAAGTGCATCTGCACTCCAGACACGTTTAAATATCTCTCGTGCGATTTCCCAAGGGGGGGGG